CACCCCCTCCTCCCTCAGACCCGGAGTCCAGGCCCCCGCCCCTCCCTTCAATCTAGAAACTCCAGCCACGCCCTCCCACGTGTGCCGGGGCAGCACCTGTGTCGGGGTGGAACTTGAGCTGTCCCTCAGGGCCCACGGCGGGCTCGTGGTGGCTTTGCTGCTGCTGCTGCTGCTGCTGCTGCTGCTTCCTCTGTTCCATCTGCAGAACGGCCTGCAGGGGGTGGGGAGATCGCAGGGGCAAGAGGGATGATGCAGGCTGTGGGGCCGCAGGCGGCTCCCTGCTCTGTGGGTCTCGTGCGAGTTTTTCTCCTGAGTGAGTTGGGGCTAGGGACAGCGGTCCAGGTCTCCCTCCCGTCACGGCTTGGGTCGCACTGAGCCCCGGAACTACCCTTCTCCCGGCCCTACACACAACCCCACTGCCCCGATCCAACACGGCTGCCACAGAGCTGTCAGGACCTTCGGCCCTCGCCAGGGTGGCGGTCACTAGCAGCTGCTCCTGGGATGCAGGGCAGCAGGACTCCTGCCTCGACCAGGGTGGGCCCAGGGCCGGGGGCGGGGCCAGGCTCCCGGGGGGTCACCTGCTGCAGCTCTCTCTTCTGGGCCTCCAGGCGGCCCTGGGAACGCCCCAGGGCCTCGGTCTCCTGGCTGAGGCGCTGGGCCTTGGCATTCAGCTCTGCCTCCCGCGCAGCCAACTCCTCCTCAAAACGCTTCAGCTCCTCCTCTGTGTAAGCAGGGTGCATCTCCACCGTCTGCGGTGGGGACAAGGCCATCAGCAGGGCCCCCTTGTTGGGGTTCGGCTGACGGAGTGGGTTTACAGTGGCCCTACGGGGATGAGAGAACTGAGGGGAACAGAGACCCAGGCTGCGGCACCAAGACGCCCAGGCGATCCGGAGAGACAGGGACGTGGCCAGCAGACGCTGACGGGGGGACAGGGCCCTGCAGGCTGGCCAGTGTCCTCACCTCCCAGCCCTCCCCAGTGTCCCCGAAGTCCTTCCTCTGGGTGGAGGCCAGGAACTCCTCCAGCGTCACGAGGCGGTCCTGGTTGGCGTCCACCTGGGAGACAGGCGAGGGTCAGCAGGTGCCGGGGCCCCCGCCCGCCTCCCCTCAAGGCCGGGCCCTCACGTTCTTCATCACGTGCTCGCGCATGCGCAGCCGCTCCTCCTCCATCTCCCGCATGTCGTCTTCCTCGTTTTTGGGGTCATAGACCTTCTCCAGCTGTGGGGTCAAGCCAGAGACAGAAGCTTTGAGGGGCCCATGGTCCCCACTTCCCAGGCAGTCCTCAAGGCACCCCGCCCCTGTTAGCAGCTGGCTCGCGCCCCAGGGGCTGACGGGGCTGCAGTTTTCTCTGAATCCACGCCCAGGGAGACAAGGGCGCAGAGTGACGGCGCGGGCATCAAGTGGCTGATGCGGGCACCCCTCCAGGCGCTCACCTCCTTGGTGAAGAGGGCCTCCAGCTCTTGCTCATCCAGGACACCGTCACTGTTGATATCTGAGGGGAGACAAGAGGGGTCTTGGAGCACTGAGGTTGGCCCCGGAGGGGCCACCTGAAGAAGGAAGTGGAGGTTGGTGCAGGGTCTCGTCAGAGGACAGGGGCAGTGGGTCCCTGCCAGGACGGCGGCCTGCAAGGCTGGGGCCCCATGGACGCTGTGCTGGGGCAGCCTGTCCCTCCCAGTCAGGGGCTGAGAACCGGGGCGATGAAGGTGGGATTTCATTGGGACCTTTCTTGGGGCTTTGGCTGCTGGGTAGCTGGGCCCCTGAGAGCCCGTGTTCTAGGCACAGGACTGGCTCCCTTGCCCAGGCCTAGGGGTGTCAGGCCTCTGCCACGCAGAGAACCAGGCCAGGCTCACGGTCTCTCTCCTCTGCTCTCACAGCTCAGCACCACACAGGTCGTGCTGAGGTGGCGAGGGAGCCTGCCCTCGCAAACCCAGTGGTTAATTATCAGCTCGTATCTCACTTGACTTTCTGATATGCTTCCAGAATCTAATTTTCTCCTCTCCAACTGCTCCTCATTCTGCTTTGCTGGCTCTATCCTCCTCCTCACCTCTGCACCCAGGTGTATCCCGGGACTCAGGGCTGGGGCCTCGCCTCTTCTTTTTTTAAGATTTATTTATGCATACAAAACTGGGGTACAGGCCAGAAATGTGGGGGGAGGGGGTAGGAAGAGGATTCACCAGAGTCAGAGTGGAGAGTGAACAGGCCGACTGATGAAGTCCACTGCTGAGGGAGCACGGGGGAGACAGGAGAGGTCTGCTGAGCCCTGTTGGTCACCTCCAGGGTCGGGATCGAACTCACACTCAAGCGGCCACGGCCAGGTTCGCAGTGCTGTGCTTTAATCCCCTGCACCACCAGGGAGGCCCTCTTCTTAGGCTTCTAATTTGCCCAATATGGCGGCCACTAGCTATATGGACTGCTTGCATTTAGAGCAACTAAGATCACACCCACCAGTTACATGTCGAGTGTGACTGCCATCTTGGGTGGCTCCGTGCATCTCCCATCATGATGGAGTCTGCCCGGCCAGCACACCCTGAGAGGGGTCTCGCCAGTCCCTTGGGGTTCAGTGTCTTGCCAACCACTTACCCTTCACCTCCAGGTAAGCTCCTCGCAGACATCCCAGCCTGCCAGCCAGCTCCCAGCCCTCCTGCCAAACACTGCACCCTCCTCCCTGCTCCTCCAGATGCTCAGGTCAGTAACTCGGAGTCACTTTTGATGCATTTTTGACCCTCATAATCCTCACTGAGGCGATTTAGGAGTCCAACCGTCTTGACCCTCCAGAAGCATTCTCCCTACTTCCTAGGGTCCAGCCAGCAGCATCTCACGCTTCAAACCAGGTTCCTGGCTGCAGCCTTCACACCCACAGCCTGTCCTTGACGCTGCGGCCAGATGGAGCCTGTCATCCCTTAAGGGAGAGGATGTCAACCCTCTGCTCCTGACCCTTTTGGGGTGTCCCGTCCCATGCAGAATAAAATCCGAATTCTTTACCCTGGCTGAGACGAGCCTCACAAACAAAACAGGGAGCAAGCTGGTGGAAGGAGAGAGCCGTGTAAATGAAAGGCCCGCAGCCCTCAGGGCCAGGAGCCTGGGTGCCAATTCTGCCTCTGGCACCAGGCTGTGGTTTAGGGCAAGCAGCAGCCACAGCCACAGTGCAACCACTCCCTCAGCCTCAGCCTCCTCATCTGTGAAATGGGAGCGGCTCAAGATTTTTCTCAGGAGCCAAAGAAACATCTGGGGAGAAACACTAGCGTATGGTATAGCGATGGCAGTTCTCTGGAGCCCACCTTTCCAGCACCCCTGCCGCAGGAACTCTGCCCCCCTGTTCCGGACAGCCAAGCCCAGCCGACCGACCTCAATAACCACATACACAAGGGGTGACGGTGCAGCGCTGCAAAGCCGCCCCCAGCCACTGCAGCATGAGTTCGATCCCCAGCCGGGGAGTGAGCCACAGGGCGCAGCAGACCCCTCCTGTCTCCCCGCTGCTCCCCTCAGCAGTGTTTCAGTGGACCGGCCTGTTCTGCTCCCCACTCTGTCTCTGCTGACTCCTCTCACCCCCAGCACCTCTGGCCTGTACCCCAGCTCTGTATGCATAAATAAATAAAATAAATCTTTAAAAAGATTCCGGTCTCGCTTCCCCTTCAGGTCCCTTGGCTACACCGAGACACAGCCTTCATCGGCCTGACCACTGGCAGCGAGCAGGGAACTTTCTTTTTCACAGCTAGATGGCTGGGACCCCAGGAAGCCTGGTCTGCAGAGGGAGCACGCGCACCCTTGTGGATGCGTGAACCCCGCCCTGGAGCTTTGTAGACTGACTGTGCCTGGGTCAGAGTCCTGGGCACACCCAAGGGGGTCTGGAAACCCGTGTCCAGACAGAAAGAGAATGAAGGGGAGTGTGACTGAATCACCACGGGGCTCCACTGCGGTTTGTTTACGAGGGGGCGGCCTTCCTGAGCCACAGCGCCCGGCAGGGAGAAGGGTTTCTGGCCACCATGGGAGTGGGCAAACCTAGTCAAGCCTGGTTTGCTCAGTCCGAACTGAGAGGGTATCGGTCAGGCCAGAGAACCCTGATGCCTGGTGTGACCTGGAAAACGGACAAACCCCCTCCACAGAATAGTTGAGCTTGGGGGTGGGGGGGGCTTTCCAGGAACCAGGGAAGATGAGCCCAGGCCTCTTTGGCTGCCTAAGCCCCACTGGGATGGAAGGCGCTGTCAGTATTTAGGGCCCCTACAAGGTGAGAGTCTCGGGGTTCAGCCTGTCTGGGGATTCCCTCCCCACCTTACCATGCAGTATGAAGAAGGTCTTTGGGTTAAACCTGTTGGGGTCCAATCCATCCAGCTCCTCCCACACCTCCTTCAACTGGGCTTGGCTGCCCTGTGGAGGGGAGAGCCAGGGGCTCATGAGCAAGAAGCATGGGTACCCCCGCCCTTCAGATACCTTTGCCTTCAAGCAAGAAAACCGTAACCCCAGCAGTCCCCGGGATAGTTGCTAGCCTAGGAACAGGCCTTTGTGCCCCAGGGTCTGCTGGGAGATGTAGTCCCGTCACCTGTCTCGTGGGGCCTACAGGGCTGGACCTGGTGGCGCTGGGCATGAATGGGGTCCTTACAGGCACATTGACTTTGGGGTGCTCTCGGTGCCGGCGCTGCTGCTCCTCCAGCTTCTTCTCTGCCTCCTTTCGCTGCTCCTCTCCCAGGGACTCCAGGTAACGGCGTCGCTCATGCTCCTTGAGCATCTCATAGCGTTTAAACTCCTCGTGATGGGCCGCGTCGTACTGGGCAAGGTCCCGAGTGGCCTGGAGACAGGCAGGCAGTCTCTCCTGACTGGCTGGAATGCCTGATCCCTTGCTGCAACCTCCACACGCCAGCCCCTCTGCCCTGAAGCTGGTCAAGGGCAGCCCACCCTCGCCCTGTCCCTGTCTCCCTCCCCCACGCATAACACAGTCTGCTCTCTGTACGGTCACGACAGATTAGAACCTGACTACGACTTTTCCAGTCCTCCCCACTGTGACATCTTGCAGGAACAAGCAGCATGGAACAACAAGGAGGACTTAACATGGAGAGCAGGTCAGTGAGCTGGTTAAGAACAGGAAGTGTCAGGCCTTCCCTGGTGGTGCAGCAGGCTGAAGCACAGCACTGTGAAGCGATCCGCAGTCACTGCAGCACCAGTTCGCTCCCCGCCCCAGAGGTGACCACACGGCGTGGCAGACCTCTCCTGTCTCTCGCACTGCTCCCCTCAGCAGTGCACTTCATCCATCTGCCTGTTCTGCTCCCCACTGTCTCTGGTGAATCCTCTCACTGCCCCTGCACCTCTGGCCTGTACCCCAGTTCTGTATGTATAAATAAATAAATCTTAAAAAAAAAAAAAAAAGAAAGAATAGGCGGTCTCTCATGATTCTGCCAAGGGTTCAGATCCAGGCTTTGCTTTTGAACAAATCCCCTGAGCTGCATGATCTTGGGCAAGTTACTTGGCCTCTCTGTACCCCAGTTTCTGCCTTTGGAAAATGGAGGTAAAAATACTGTACCATGTTAGATCCTATCCCCTCCAAAATCATATCTGGATGTCATTACTTAAAAGGAGGTCCTGCTGGATTAGAGAGCTAAATTCAGTGACTAGTATTCTTATTTTTTTTCTCATTAAGAATCTAGCCGTGGGTCCTCCCTCGTGGCACAACAGGTTAAAGCGCAGCACTGTGAAGCTATCTGCAGCCACTGCAGCACAAGTTCGATTCCCAGTAAAGGAGTGACCCACAGGGGGCAGCAGACCTCTTCTGTCTCCCCGCTGCTCCCCTCAGCAGTGGATTTCAATTGGTCTGCTTGTCTGCTGACTCTTCTCACCACCCCACACCTCTGGCCTGTACCCTGGCTCTTGTATGCATAAATAAATAACCCTAAAAAAAAGTATCCAATGGTCTATTTATAAATAAGAATTATCCCTCAGGCCAAACACTCATGCTTCCTAGTTCAGGTACACCGTAGCATCCATCCAAGGAAATCCTTTCTAGTCCAAGATCACTTTGCACTCTGAATGCATCCAGCCTTCTTCACCTCCTGAAACTCTCTCATGAAGTCACAATTTCTGTAGGAATTCACATGTGCCTTTTCTTTTGGCTCAATCACAGCAAACGTACAGAAAGGTGAGTCCCCCAGGAATACAATGAGTAACCTTACAGTGTCCTGATGGCAAATAGCTGCCCCTAACAAAGAACTATGCAAGCCAGGGTGTCATGAGCACTGAACTGAAAAATGCTGCTGGCCAGTGTGGAGGGCGGAATCAAGGGCCCAATGAGAGCAGCTAGGAGACATGGGGGGGGGGGCAGTGAAGCTGCAGAAAAGCTGCCAGTTTCTGGCATGTTGTGGAAATACCTAGAATATCCCTCACGGGCAATGGACACAGTGAAATGGCTGCTATTATCTTTGTGGCCACTAGGCGGAGCTCCAGGAGGCCGGTAATGCAGGGTGGAGGCCAGGGCCAGGCTGGGTGTGTGTGTAGTTTCAGAAGGGCTAAGAGCAGGGCAGGGGGACCATGGACACCCCATGCGCTCCTGCGCTCCCCAACCTGGCACTTGGCCTTCCTCATGCGGCAGGGCTGTGGCTCCCATTTCCAGTGTCTGTTCCTACAGCCACTGTATCAAATAATCACTTCAAATATTCAAACAACACACACTTATCATCTGCTAGGGCGGCGGCCAGAGAGCTGAGATTAGGGTGACAGAAGAGCTGTGCTGCCTCCAGGGACTCTAAGAGAGACCCTTCATTTGCCATCTCCACTTCTGGAGCCTCCTGCTCTGCCACCACGCCCACAGGCAGCAGGGGACGTCTGGCAGCGGCGCCACGCGCCTTCCTTGCAGTGACAGCTCCCTCTGCACCCACAGCACCCGTGTGGTGACATTTAGGGCCACCCAGATAACACAGGTCATCCCCCCACGTCAAGAGTCCTGACTGAACCACACTCACAGAGTCTCTTTTGCCATTTGAGGTCATACAGCGCTGGTGCACACATGAGGGGGTGACATCATTTCTGGGGTGACATCATTTCTGGGGGTGCCGCCTCCCACCAACACACAGAGGGACAGTCCCCACCTGAGATCCTACGGGAAGGGCAAAGCTGGGAGGGATCTGAAAGCTGCCTGAGTGGAGCCAAGTCAGTGCTCCTGCACCCTGTTTTCCTGCAGAGAATCTGGGGGGAGCTTTCAGATGCAGCCTGGCCAGCTGGCAACCTCAGAGGAGGCCAGCCAGGGTGTGGCAGACTCATTCATGCCCTGAGCTCTGTTCTTTTCTTCCCCTTCACAAGCTCCCTCAGTTCCCTCCCTCTGACAGTAGCCCTCAGCCCCTCATGCTACCGTCTGGATCAGCAGCTCCAGGTCTCGGGCCTCAAATGTGTGCTGATTCTGAGGGTCCAGGTGCTGAAACTGCTTCAGGAGGCTCAAGTGATCCAACTGTACATCTGGGTGAGGAAGAAAAGAAAAATCAACAACAATTCCTGGCATGCTCACAGGAAGCACAGGGGCAATCAGGGAGGACTTCCTGGAGGAAGCCATGCACAGATGAGTCTGCTGCTTAGAATAAGAGCTCATATGTATTGGGCATTTACTATCTGCCAGGCCCTGCTCTAAATACATTACATTTATTAGTGCCTTTACTTTTCACGGAAAGGTTACGACATAGTTTCTCTCATTATTCCATTTCATGGATGTGAAAGTTGAGGCCCAGAGAGGGAAAGAGACTCCTCAATCACCATCAAGGAAGTGGCACCATGAGGACTAGACTGGGCAGTGGGCTTCAGAACACATGCCCTCAACCCCTGCTTCAAGTTGAATCATGTGCCCTAAAATGTATGCACTGAAATCCTCACCCCAGGACGTCAAGATGAGGCTTGAGTCTGGAGAGAGGGTTTTCAGAGAGGCGCTCAGTTTAAAATAATGTCACTCCATTGGGGCCTAACCCTACATGCCTGCTGTCCTTAAAAAAAAAAAAAAAAAAAAAGAGGTAATCTGAACGCAAGGGAGAGATGATGTGAAAAGACAAGGGTAGGAGGTGGCCTGTGCCAGTCAAGAGAGAGACAGAACAGACCCCAGGGACGCTCAGGTCTCCAAGGCACCAACCCTGGGACCTTGATCTTGGACTCCTGGCTCCAGAACTGTAAGACAATAAAAGTCTGTGGTCGAAGCCGCCCAGTCTGTGGGACTTTGTCACAAAGTAACACAACCTACTCATTCTGGAGTTTCCACACAGGCAGGCAAGAAGGGAGCTCTATGTGTCCACACACACGCACGCACACAACCCCCATTTGTTTACTTCACACAGGTCTCCTGAGGCCTCCCAGACGTGGCAAGACCTGGCCAGCCCTCGGGGCGGGGCACATGATTCGGAGACAGGTCCACAGTGACACCCACATCTAACCGGTGTGTGTGGAGCCCCGACCCTGTGGACACGGCCGGGACCAGGCAGCATGTGCCACCTCACACCCCCATTGTTACCCCCACAGCACCCAGTGAGGAGGCGGAGAACAGACGGCCGAGAGGCGAACGTGCAACTCCCCGGAACGCAGATCAGGCCAGACTCTGAGGAGGTGACGTGAGCTGAGACCGGAACTCCATGGGCCACACTAAGCGCCTGGGGAAGGAAACCCCGGCACAGGGAAGCGCCCGGGCAAAGGTCTCGGGGGAAGAAGGACGTGTCTCTTACTAAGAATGCTCACGCAACACACACACACTTGTTAGAGGACATCTCCGCATCTCCACGTCACCAAGTGCAGGGAACAGCCTGTGTCCAGCCGCACAGAGTGGGCGGAGACCACGTGCAGGCACCAGGGAATATTACTCAGCCACGAAGAAGGGCGCCCTGCCATCTGCAAGAACTGGGTAGCGTGCGGTGGGAGGATGCTTCCCGACCTGAGCAGACAGGGTACAGTGACTGCCCCCCACATGGGAGACAACGCAAAGGAAGGAAGAAAACGGACTCGAAGGCTCTGAGACCCACACTGGGCGACCAGCAGGGGAAGGGGCAGAGAGGCAGCCAAGGCCAGTTAAAGGGCCAGTTCACGGCGATGGGATTTGGTGAACGCGAGAGGTGCTGCTTTGAGTCCGTTCACCGGGAGCCCATATAATGTGGTAAACCCAGGCTACTTTTCTTTAAAAAAAAAAAGACAGAGAGAGGGAGAGAGAGAACATGCAGGTGGAGATGGGGTCCAGGCACACATTCCAGCACACTCCACTAGGTCATGAGCAACAGGGTGTGAGCGGGGCATCTGGACTTGCCCGCCTCCGCCTGTCCAGGAATTTTTTTTCGGCTTTTCTGCCTTTATCACCAAATCGTTCCAGTCCAAAATGCCGCCTGAGACACGAGCGCCAGGGAGTAGAAAGAGAAGCTCAGCAAGGGAGACTACAGCGCACCCCGCGACACGCGCTGGCTTTGATCGCTCTACTGTGGCTACTTGAGTTGTGGGGACCGTCCCCCGAAAGCTGTGGGTGGGGAGGGGTACAGCGTCGCCGGGCGTGCATGAGAGCAAGACTGACCGGGAGCCTGCAGCTTTGCTGTCAGTCTGAAGTCACGGCCACATTTTAAATGACTGATTTTTGCAAATAAAAATTATAGGCTGGGGAAAAAAAAAACAAAAAACCCACAACCAACCAAGCTACAACAGAACCATGCTTTGAAGAGACAGTACGAGGACGGAAGCTTGATGGATTTTCCAGGGTGGAGGTGGCTCTGGGAGGGAGGCGCCCCCCCCCAACCCCGGCCCTCTGCTCACTGGGCTCCTGCTTAGCGTCCATCTTGGCCTTAAGCAGCATCCGCAGCCGAGACACCTCCTGTCGCTTGAGCTCATCCAGCTTGGTGCGGACGTGGTGGCTGACAAAGTCCAGCTCCCGGCTCAGCTTCCCGCTCTGCGGGATGGAAGGGACACCGTTCACGCTGGGGGCCGGGGGCACAGGAGGAGGCTGCCTGTCTCCCCTGACCTCTCTAGAGCCTTCATTAAGCTTTCGGATGCCCCTGGGGCTCCCCAGGGGCATCGGGACAGGCCCTGCCACCTCTGCAGCCCCAGCTCTCCAGGCGCTTTCCACCCCTGGGCCTGTGCATACGCGCTCCCTCTCCCACCATCGCTTCTCAGCTGGATGCTCACGATCCTTCAGACATCCAGGTGGATGGCACCACCCTTGGGAAGAATATGCCAACCCTCTTGGCCCCCAAACACAGTCTCTCTCTCTCTCACACACACACCTCTGAGCTGCCTTGATCGCTCATCTGTTTCTCAACCAGAGCTGAGCCCGTCCTTCCCATGCCTCCCAGTCACCAGTGCCCTCCCCACAACCAAAGCTCCCAGATGCCCCAGGACAGATGCCCCGGGCCTGGCATTCAAGACCCTGCACCCACCTCTGCCTCCAGCTCCATCACCCCAGCAGGCCCTGAAGGTACCAGAAGGCTTCGTTTGCACACGTTTCCCACCGTCTGCAAGGTCACTCCGCACTCACACCCCGTGCCCTCCGCACACTGGGAGCCAAGCCCCGCTGGGGGTCCTTTCCCCGGAAGTCCCTCCCACCCGTCAGGCTGGATCGTGCCCTCTTTGGGGTGGCTGTCTCTTGTTGCTTAAGTGAATTTGTGGGTTACTTGGGGGCCTGGGGGGAGGAACATGTCCCTTGCAGAGGCAGCAGGATGAGGTGACCATGGTGACTGTCATGTGATCTCAGGTGGGCACCCAGGCCGGGCCAGACCCTGTGCTGGATCCTTGGTGTGACCAGTGCTGCCCACAAGCCCAGGCCACAAAGGAATGAAAGCAAGCCCAGGAGGACTCCCGGCCCTCAGCCTGTGTTGAGGTGGCCGCTCCAGCCTGGAGGCCATGTTGAGTGTTGTGTCTCCCCGAGCGGGAGCCCCAGGGCCTAGGTTTCCGTCCAGCCCCGACACGGCTGGGGACTTCCATCACTTCTCTGCAAAGGAAACTGCGGCACGGAGGGGCAGGCTGCCTGCCGGGCCCACAGGGCGGGCGTGGGAGGGGCACCCAGCTGCTCCGGGCCTACTGCCAAGTGGCCGCCTCCTTGGGTCACTTCCTAGGTGCGTGGCCTGGGGCGAGCCTGGGTGCCTCTCAGGCCTCAGCTTCCCGGCAGGACACTGGGAGCAGCTGGACTCGGTGGTCTCTGTTTCTGCCCATCCATCACTGAGGCAGCCTGGGCAGATGCGGGCAAAGGAGGGCCCCAGAAATGTCGGTAGGCTAGTGGGGAGCAGAGACACCCACTATCCTAGGCCCTAGGGTCCTCCGGGGCTGATGGGCTTGGAAGACACCCACTATCCTAGGCCCTAGGGTCCTCCGGGGCTGATGGGTCAACTAGGGGAGACGTCTGACATGCCAATGCACTGGGTGGGCCTGCTTGTAGTGGTGGGGAGGGACTTGTCTCCCCCTGGGGAACATCCAGCATCCTCCTAAAGGGGGTGCTGCATGGGAAACAGCCCTGAGGTGTGGGCTCAAGTCTTAGGCAGTCTGGGGTGAGAGCCAGGTCAAGCATCACTCCCAGATTTGCCTCTGTAAAATGGGGGTGACCATAGCAACTCTGGAGGCAGAGTATAACAGTTACAGGGGTTTCTTCCAAACCTAAACCCCACGAGGGAGGTTTCATTTTGACCCTCAATTTACAGGTGGGGAAACTGAGGCACAGGAAGGGGAGGGGATTGGTAGAACAGAGACTGAAAGCTTCAACCATCTGCCTGGTGCTTAATCATATTCTGTGTTCCCTAAACTACCTCCCCACAGCTAGGTCACCCCAAAAAGCAGCTTCCCTTTGAGGCTCAGTTTGGTGAGGGCTGCAGCCACGGGGCCCCTTGAGGGGAACTGGGCCTCTCCTGAACCCCGCCACAGCGATGGCACCCAGCGGGACGCACCTTGATGTCCTCGGCGCTGGCCGCCTGCAGCTTCTCCCGGAAGTGCCCGTCGGTCTCCAGCACGTTGATGACCTCCTGCAGGTAGCGGTGGTAGTACAGGCCCGTGTCCTGCGGGCAAGGACCAGCAAGGGGGCATCACGGGCCTCTCCTCTCGGCGCACGCCGAGGCCTGAGCCCCCGCCTGGCGGAGAGGCCTGCCCAGCAGGCCAAGGTTCTGGCCGCCAGCGGCCGGGGCCAGCTCGCCCCTCTTCCCGGCTGGTGGTTCGTGGCCCGCGAACACACCTGGCCTTCCCGCCTCCCTCTTACAGGCAGGGAAGCCTGGGAGTACACTGAGCCCCTGGATAACAAAAAGTGAATCTCCACTCAAGCACACGTGCCAACACCCTTTTGCCACAGGGTAAGTCCTCACTGCAACGTCACGGGCAGGGTCTGAAAATTTCCCACTGTAATTGAAAAGACATAGCCAAGCCGTATCCTCAAATTATATTTCATTTGGAGTCAGCTGAGGTTGTTTCTCTCTCCCTCATCAACATCTAATAAAACAATGGTGAATGAAACATGATTTGACGACCTGTTGGGCTGTATTGACATTTAGGGGCTCTGAGGATTAGGATGCAGACATCTTTGGGGGCCATTACTCAGCCTAATGCAGCGGACTGGCGTCTCAAATGTGCCATTACTAGGTAAGTGACCTTGTTAGGTTTGTTAGGGTGCCCACATCTAAATTTTAGAGAAACAAAGAGCCCTCCCTGGTGGCGCAACAGGTTAAAGCACAGCATTATGAAGCTGTCTGTAGCCCCTGCAGCATGAGTTTGATTCCTGGCCAGGGAGGGACCCCCAGGGCGCAGCACACCTTTCCTGCCTCCCCGCTGCTCCCCTCAGCAGTGGATTTCAGGGGCTCTGTCTGTTCTGATCCCCGCTCTGTCTCTGGTGAATCCTTTCACTCCCCACACCTTCCTAAATAAATAAATAAATCTTTTAAAAAGTAAACAAATTTTAGAGAAACAACAGACCACATTCTCTATGAGTGTATTATTGCATGGGGACAACTTACAATAATATCTGCACATATTCACCTGAAATTCAATTTTAACCGGGCGTTAAGAGTCTGTAGTTGCTAAATTCGGCACTCTTAGTCTTTAGCCTCTCTGTGCCTCTGTTTCCTCATCTGCAACGTGAGGTAAACAGGTGCCCATAGAGGCTGTTGTGAGAATGAGATGAGTTAACACCTTCATATTCCTAACAGCTGTCCATGCTATTTTGGTAGTTGCTGTATTGATGTTTATAACGGCTCGGACCTTCCTGTGTCTCAGGGCAAAGCACTCCCCACCGTGGCCATCTGCTCGGCTCTTGCCCCCTCTCATCTATCTCATGACCCTCTGGCTTGCCCTGTTCCAGCCACAATGGCCTCCTGCAAGTCCCTTTACTCACTCTGCTCTTCCCACCACACAGCCTCAGCCTTGGCTGTTATGTTCTTCAGATCTCAATGCAAGTAACCCTCACCCCTGGGTCTGTGAAGCCAGAGGGCTCACACTTAACTTATACCAGGCTGGAGGAAATTGCTCAAGCAATGGTGTGGACAGAGGAAAAGAAAGGAGACTCAAAGTGCCCTGTGCCCGCAAAGATTTCCCCCAGCCATGGAGGGGGACCTGCCGTGCCTGTCCTGTGGGGTATCTGGTTCTAGAGGCACCTGCCAGCAGCTCCAGGGAGCTCTGGGAAGATGCAGGCCGCAAATCAGCTGCTGTCCTGAGAGCTTTACAAATCCAGCTCCCCTATGACCAAAGGCTTCAGAGCATTTCATGAACACCTGTTGGAATCACCAAATGAGCAGTTTACATGCCCTTTCACCATGTAAACTTCAACTCCCACGAGCCTCCATGAAGTGGGAGCCCGGCAGCCAGCTTATACCACCTGGGCATGGTGCCCCTGGGAAAGTCGGTCTGATTTTCACAGGCCTTGCGCGCAGATGGTCATAAAGAACCAGATTAGGGGGTAGAGATTAGAGGAGGGAGGGGGGAGGCTGGGATGCAGATTTTTCACGCAACTCGGACACCTCATTGTCAGGAACTCAGCAGTCAACCCTACCCGGCCCAGCCTCCTCCGCCACCACTTTTCCACCGCGTCAAAGCCTCCGGGACGCGTTGGTCGGGGCGTATAGACCCGCGGGTACAGTGATGCCCTGCAAACACCCGGCTGGGGGCAGGGCAGGGCCACTTACGGGGCTCTCGGTGGCGGGGCTCTCCTTGGACGCTCCTCGCTCCAGGGGTACCGCCAGCACGGTGCCCAGCAGCAGCAGCAGCAGCAGCAGCGGAGGCAGCAGCAGCAGGGCTGCGCGGGACCCAGGGGGCGGCATGGCGGCGCGCGCTCTGCGGGGGCGGAGGGGTGGGTAAGGTCTGCCCCAAGCCTCTGCTCCCCGGGCCCGAGCGTCTGCGTCCCCGGCGCCGTGCCCACTCTCCCAAGAGTGAAGCCGCAGAGCGTCTCATAGCCCGGGACCCAGGACTGCGGGCGTCCAGCCTTGCCTTCCTCAGACGCGAGCGTGCCGGCTCGTCCCGGCTCGTCCCGGCTCCCGGTACCTTCCTGGGACTCGGGAAGGCACCTGGCGTCCCTGCCTCTTCCGCCAGACCCACAGGTCCAGGCCCCCTAGCCCCCAGCCCCCTCTTTTTCCAAAAGCTAGAGGTACTGCCGCTCGCCCGTCCTCCTCGGGGGCCCAGATTCCCAGCCCGCTGACCCCACTGCTCCCCAGGACCCAGGGGCCTAGAGGTGCCCCCCAGCGCCTCACCTTCCGTCCACCGCAGAGGGCGTTCTCCGGGCTAGCACCTCCGGTGCGTGCCCTGTGATTTCCCCCCTAGGCCACGCCCACCGCCCCGAGCCCCGCCCCCAACGTATGATTGGTCCACGCAGCTCACGGCTTTCGCTTAGTGGCCCCGCCCCTAATCGAAGCCTCTTACTTTTTCCCAAAAGACTCGCAACCTGTTGACACCGCATATCCTATTTTGTGCTTCTTTTTGTTTTAGGTGAATGCAGAAGGGTGAATTTCAAAGAGAACGACAACTCCCTGGAGGCCAGAGGCAAATCAGTCAACTTCCGCGGGCTTCTTGGCCCCTTTGTCTCATGGGAATTGTAGTTTTTCCATTTATTTTCGCACTAGGACCCGTTTGCAAGTTACAGATCCGGTAGCAATTGGCAGAGGGCATCCTCTACAAAGGTCTCTAGTATAAGCGAGAGGTGCAGAATGAGGTTGGGACGTGGCCTCTCTTGGGTCCCTTTAAGGAACACCAGCATGCTCTTCCAATTCAGAACCCCCTGAGCAGGGTTGCCTGGCTCCTAGGGAGGTCAGGGGTCATTGCTTTGTTGGGAGTGGAGTGCTAGAGGTCCTGGAGGGAGGGGTTCTGGCGGGTCCCTTTAGGAATCCCCTCCCTCCCTCTGATCTCTTTTTCTTCCCCTGCCCACTTCCTAAAGTCCCAGATATTAGGTCCCCTCTCACAAAAAGAGAGTTATGTTTAGAAATTGGCCAGAGAGGCAAGGCACTGAGGTGTGAGTGTGAAAGCCTCCCAGACACAAAGGAAGGATAGGGAGACTCCTCGATTCCAGGCAGGTGAGTGTTCCAGGCCTGAGGTCACTAGGTGTTGAGTGTTTGGGGCCCAGAGTCCTGAGTTCCCACAGAGGAAAGAGTTGGAGGAAAGAGAATGGAACTCCTGGGACCCTGAGAGTAGTGAAAACTGGAAACAGTCTCCGGGGAACCTGACAAGACTCGCTGCTGGCATTTATGCTGATGCTGTCCAGGAGGAAATCTAAAGTTAAGATCAAGTACTGCAGGACACTTATTTATTAAGATGTTGGATCTGGGTTCTAACTTGTCTGTCATTCTTGCTTCTCCAGAATGTCTCAGGAGAATGACACATGGAAGAAAGAGTGAGTGAGGGCATGGGATGGACCCCGGTAGAAGTGGAGGTGCAAGGGCCAACTCAAAGATTTGATTGTTCCACACCCACTCAGTGCTGGTGTTGTCAGCACCATCGGCCTTGCAGGAAGGGGCTGGGGCCTGGACTGGTCCTCAGGGGAGGGAGCTGTCGATGAGTTAGAGTGGATCCTAAAGAGGAGCGCTGAGACCTTGGAGTCCCAGAGTCTTGAGACAGGAAGGGGCTGCCTGGGCTCTCTGAGGGGGGCCAGTGCTGGGAGATAGAATAGGTGAGGCAGGCTCAGGTTCTGCCCGCTCTGTGACCTCACAAGTGCTGGAGCCCCTTGGGCAGGGAGAAGGAAAGGCTTGGGAAGGCGCTGTGTCCTGCTTGCCTTACCATGAGTGCGCATCTGACCCTCAGGGTCCTGGGGAACGAGCTCGCCACTATGAGGCTGCAGAAGCTGGAACAGCAGGTACCGTACTCAGAGTCCTACCACCCCTACCCGTCCATACCCTACCCTGCATCTGCATAGCTCCCTTGGGCCCTCAGTCCGCCCCACCGATTCTACCTCAGGACTCGGTCTGAGAAGCCAGGCCCACCTGTAGGAGTCTCAAGTGCGCCAACTAGACAGTGAGAAAACAGGAATTCAGGGTCCTAAAGAAGCAAACCTTGGTGCTAAAATTCTAAAATGCCTAAAGAGTCTGGGTGGCAGGACCCTTGGGAGATGTTCTCTTGGATATGTAGGAAGAGGGCCTGGACTTCTGGAACGCAGGGAAGAAGAGTTCCCCCACCATCAGGCCTCCTGCCCCAAGTCTCCTTTCTCCTGGGTCCTCCTTCAGTGTTTCTGACCCTCCGCACCCCACCCCTCCCCTTTCCTGGTCCCCCAGAGGAAGCTGTTTGAGATGAAGCAGCGACGGAAGCGCCAAGAACCCCTCATGGTTCAGGCAAATCCTGATGCTTCCCTATGGCCCCGGAGGTATCGGTGGAGGATGGATCGCTTCGCAGGTGACAGTGGTAAGGAAAGGGCTGGGCAGGAGCTTAAGTCACCAGGAGAGAGGGAGTCTGTGGGAATGCGGGAGTGAGGAGTAATGGAGTCAGATGGGGGGTACTTAGAGGAGCCTTAAGGCGGGGCCTTGGTAGAGCACAGGATGGGGCTAGCTTGCAGTGCTGCGCCTTAAACCGCTGCACCACCAGGGAGGGCCTCGAATTCTTTTTTATTTTTTTAAGATTTACTTTTATTTGTTCATGCATATAAGGGCTGGGGCGTAGGCCAAATCCTAAAGAATTTGAGTGCAGGACCTCCATGGTGGTGCAAGGGGTTAAGTCGCAACACTGTGAAGCTGTTGGCGGCCACTGCAGCACGAATTCGATCCCCAGCCAGGGAGGTGACCCACAGGGCGCGGCAGACCTCTCCTGTCTCCCCGCTGCTCCCCTCAGCAGTGTACTTCGTCGATCTGCCTGTTCTGCTCCCCACTGTCTCTGGTGAATCCTCTCACTGCCCCTGCACCTCTGGCCTGTGTCCCAGTTCTGTATGCATAAAAAAAAAATCTTAAAAAAAAAAAAAAAGAATTCGAGTGCAGGGTCTGTGGGACCTAAGGGCGGAACCTGTGAGAACTCGGGGGCGGAACTCAAAGAGCCTGGGACCAATCAGAGAGCATGCATGGGGCGGGGCCTAGAGAACCTGGGGGCGGGGCCAGGGCCAGCGTTCCAGAGACCTTGAAGGCTGGAATTGCAGTACTTGGGAGACTTGGCCTGGGTAATTTAGACCAGGTTCTGCGCTGGCTGAGAGACCAAAACAGGATTGTTTGCTCAAAGAATTTGGGTTCTACAAAGGACTTGGGGTTTTGGGTGGTCAATCAGGGGCGATTTCTGGGAGTCCTGTAAGGAGGCTAATCTTCGAAGAGGACCAGAATTTTTGTGCAGCGCTTTATATGTCCTCTCAAACTTTCTCCCAGCCCACGGGAACCCTTTTCTCCAGGAGAATGTGCCAGAGGCACATCTGCGTCCAGGTGTACAGAGCACTCTGGGTATTGTGAGCTGTGGCGGAGACGGCGGTGGTGAGCGCCTTACCTTGGCATCACCCACAGAAGCAGGTAATCTCCAGTCCTTGGGCTCCCTATACCCTAGAACTCCATTCCCACCAGAACCCAGGAGTCTGGAACCTCAATCCTTACTCTTCAAAGGATCCAGGAGTCCAGGCCTCCGAGGGCCCGGTCATCCCTCACACCAAGGAGTCCTGAACACCCAGAAATCCGAATCTCCAGCCCCTTTCTCCCCAAGTACTCGGAAATCTCGATCTCCAGCCCGTTTCCCTATCCTGGCTACCAGATAGTTCCGATCCGGAGCTGGAGGAAGTCACGGTGGAGGACATCCCAACCTCTCCCCCTCCTTACAAAGAACTTCGTGGGACTCGCCGCAGGGGTTGGCCCGCTTGCCTAAGACCTGGTAATTCTGGGGGTACTGGGCAAAATCTGACTCCCTTTTTCGGTAACAGCTTTGAGACACATTTCATATACAATTCACTCATTTAAAGTTTACAATCCAATAGTTTGTAGCATATTTATGGAGATCACCCCAATTAATGCAAGAACATTTTCATTAGCCCTAAAAGAAATCCTGTATCGTTCACCCAACCTTAAGCAAGCTACTTTCTGTTTAAATATGTAAATATGCCTATTCTGGATGTTTCATATAAATAGAATAATACAACACACGATATTTTGTGATTGGCTCCTTTTGCTTGGCATGAAGGGTACATCATACTCTATAGTATTACCAGAATTTCATTCCTTTGTATTACTTAATACTATGCCATTATCGTGACATTTCCTTTTATTTTCATGACATACTCAGGGATTTCCATAACAGAAATCTTAATTATACCCAAAACCCACACTCCCCCCATTTCCGTTCCATTTTTGTGTCTCTGATGCTTTCACCAGGACTAGGGGAAGGGAAGTCTCTAGCTCCTCCCTGTCCTTGGACCCAGGGCAGAGACTTTTCAACTGCCATTCCAGGCAGACAGTGGGCAGGGCAGCTGCTGGCAAGTGGGGAGGTGAGTAATGAGTAGAGGCTGGAGCCCAAGTGGCCTGAACTCAGCCTTCCAGTCTTTTCTATCCCTTAGGGAGTAATGCAGAGGATGAGAGCGAATCCCAGGATGTTGGAGATGAGTATGAGGTCCCCATTCTGGAACCAAAACTTGAAGTGGATGGTGACCAGGGACCTGAAGACTTGGCATCTTGCAAGGTGGGAGGGAGCACAGCCAGTCAGCACACAGGTGGAGGAGGGCTAGCCTGGGACTCTAGGAGTGGGTGGGGCTAGAATTCTGTGGCCCAAACCGAGGCCCTTTTCGGACAGGTAAAACCTGTATGATCGCAGAGCTCGCCTCTAGAGGGTCAGTGTACTTTTATGAAGTTAATCTTGGAGGATTTCAGTTGATGGGGGCATAGACATTAAAATCCAGTCCTCGGAAAGGCAGTGAACTTTTTGGACAGTGATAGAGAAGGACCAATTAGCATTCATTTTGTTCATGAAAATGCCCTAGTTTCATTTGGGTATTTCTGGGTCGAATTATGTTATCTAGAGCGAATCAACATTGGGCAGTGTCCTCAAAGGGCTTGTCCAGAGGGTGGTGGGTGGGAGCCAAGGTGCTGGGCCAGCTGCAGACGCTGAAGGCTTGATTGGCTGGACCCGTTGGATGGACTGACCAATCACAAGGGCGCTAGTGGCTAGTTGGCCAATAGGCAAAAGCCATACGTGGGAGAAGGCGGAACCGTGAGCGGCAACACCCAGTCAGTAGTTTGCAAGGCAGAAGGAGCTAAGTGGCCCCTCAACTTTGAATTTGACTCGTGGGCTAGGAAGAAGACTTGGAAGAGATGAGAGAGGAGCTGGAGTCTACACTGACAAACTTCCTTAGGGAGAACAGCCAAGAGGTGTCCTCGAAAGACAAAGTCGAAAGCGAGGGCGAGGGCGAGGGCGAGGGCGAGGATAAGGGCAGCGGCGGGACGGACAGCAAGAACGGGGCGACGTCCCCCCGCTCGCCAAACCGCGCCACAGGCCCTCGACTGGGCGAGGACATGGAAACCTACGTGCTCCGGCCGGCGCTGCTGGGTTGCATGGTGCAGTGCCGCATCAGCCGCGACAAACGCGGTGTGGACAAGGGCATGTTCCCTTCCTACTATCTCTACCTGGAGGCCACCGACGGCCTGAAGGTGCGGTCTCCAGGGTCACGAGCCAGCCCCGCTGTCGGGGGGCCATCCCGTCCCGATCGACTTTCTCGAACCCTGGCCTTACTCTATCAGACGAGGACCTGTCGATTCCAGCTCCTAGCCCTGCGCCCTCAGAATTGGTTTCCTCTCCTTACAAAACCTAGTAGCCTGGGCTGTACCGCAACGCCCCACACTTAGAGGTGTGTGTGGGGGCGGGAGGGTCGTGGAGCTCATTTCTCAGGTCAGCCTTGTCAGGCCCCACCCCTCACACACTCTTTCCGGGAACTGGCACCATCTTTTGTGGTTCAAGTCTGGAACCTTCCTTCACCTTCTTTGCTATCAAGAGCCACCCAAACCGAGGATAAGTCCTCCCCTCATGGGTTTCCCGCCGCACCGAGCCACACCTACCTCTAGCTGACCATTCTCCCCTGGGTGTCCCCACCTCACCTAAAGGCATTGTCTGGCTGCCAGACTCCCTCTTCCCTCATGAGATGCCCACCAGAGTCCTGCCACCAGATTCCAAGTTGCCAAAGTCTCTTCTGGTCTCCAAGATCAACTCCTGCCAGGCAGTCTGGCCCCTGCCTGGGCTCAGACCTGACCCTGCTGCCCAATGAGAAGGGGGAGGTGGATTGAGATGCACAAACCTCTCTCAGGACTCAGGAATTCCCTCAGTGATAACCACCTCTCCCAGCAAGCCTTGGGAACTATATTGCTCTGTCACCCTGCCCCTGTCCAGAGGTCTTTTCTGGCCTTTCTGGCCTTTGGGTGCCTAGGCCTAGCCGAGTAACAGGAATCCGTTCTGACGGACTGCTCCTCCCATCCACAGCACTTCCTGCTAGCTGGGCGGAAGAGGAAAAGAAGCTCAACTTCTAATTACCTCATCTCCCTGGATCCCACAGATCTGTCTAGGGATGGAGCCCACTTTATTGGAAAAGTCAGGTGGGCAGAGCTTTGGGAGGGTGGGGGGAGAGGGGGGTGAATTACATTGCCCAGATGCCGCAGAACTCAAGTTCCACGTGCTTTTAAGACTCATTCAGAGTAACAGATGGGTTCTTCAGGTTGAACCCTCAGGCTGGCTGGGACTAGAGGGCTGAAGACTTTGGAGCAGAAGCTGGATTTGAGGCTGGTATTCTTGAGGGGCATGGGCTCGGGACTCCTAAGTTGCTATTGGAGAAGAAGACCGGATGTTTGAGTCCCTGCATCCTTGAGGGAAGAAGGGTCCTAAAGGGTCAAAGCAGGAGGCTAAGAATCACTCGTGGCAGAAAGGGGACTGGCACTGTGGAGACTTGGAACAGGAACATGAGTCTAATGCAGAGGACTGGAGGGAAGAGTTGGTGAGATGAGATGATACAGGAAGCATTTTCCATACAGCAGAAAAGGTAACAGCTATTTTTATTCTGCTTACTCCCCTACTCCCCTCCCGGAACAGATCAAATGTCTTGGGCACCAAGTTCACCATCTTTGACAACGGGGTGAATCCCGATAGGAAGAATTTTGTCCCAGAGACTGCTCGGATCAGAGAAGAACTGGGGGCTGTGTGTTATGTGAGTGTCCTGGAGACATGAGAATGGAACAGGATGGTGGGGAGGGAGAAATGACAGGCCAACTGGAACATAATATCCTCCAGGAGACCAATGTCTTGGGATTCCGAGGACCCCGGAAAATGACTGTGATCATTCCAGGAATCGATGCCCAGAATCGGAGAATCAGCGTCCAGCCACAAAATGTGAGTCCACTGAAGTTGAGAACCTCTGAGTCAAGGAGTGAGGAAGGTCTGGGGCACAGCCCAAATCCCAAGAGGGTGAGGACTGATGGACAACAGGTCACATGTGAAGCCTGGGAGACTCTGTCAGACTTAGGTGTTTCAGGGAGGCGACAAGAAGGGACTCAAAACTCCAAGTCCGGAGAAGAAAAGCGGGTTGGTGTTAGGTTAATCTATACCACCACCACTACCACCACCCTGCCCGGCTTTCCCTTTACCTGGTAGGAGCAGGAGTCGCTACTGAATCGCCTCCAAAGGGGGGCCAGCCAGGGGCTGCTCCTGCTGCAAAACAAACCCCCGGCGTGGAATGACGAGAGTGGTGCCTACGTGCTCAATTTCCATGGTCGGGTCACCCGGGCCTCAGTCAAGAATTTCCAGATTGTGCATCCAGATAACCGTGAGCTCCTAGGACCTGTTTACTTGGGGAATGGGGTGTGAGCAGACGAGAACTACTCAGTCCCCTACCTCTGAGCACTTTTTCTAGGTAGGGCTGATGGCATCACGCCTTTGCAAAGCCTCCTGGGAACTGTAGTTCACAAGGCGCTTGGAGGGGTACACCCGCTTAGGAAGGGCGCCCTTAGGAAGCCTTCATCATCACAGCAGTGGTGATGAGCCCCAGCAGGGGAACGAGCTCAGTTAAAACTTGTGCTGAATTCTTCCTCAGCGAACTCCCTGGTGCTCCAGTTCGGTCGCGTGGCCCCGGATTCATTCACTATGGACTTCAGCTTCCCACTCTGTCCGCTCCAAGCCTTTGCCATCTGCCTGTCTAGTTTCGATGGGAAGCTGGCATGTGAGTAATCCAATGAAAGATTGTACTCTCACCAGCTCCTGTGCGTCTTATTGGGCCCCTCACACTTGTGCACCTTCGTCCTAATCACCCTTATTAAATGGGGACTGGGGCACCAAGCCCTGTCTCTAGCGTGTGGGCTCCTCAGCAGCCCCTGTGAGAATCGTAACTGATCATGAGAGAATTCGACCAAAAATCAAAACACTCTTCTCGGTGAAGGAGAAGAGCACACGGAAGACCAAGCTGACTGGGCTAGAGCAAAGCCTCTGGAGAAAGGGTTTTCATACAGTATGTGAAGAATCACACGCAGCTGATCCACAGCAGTCGGGTAGGGACATCAGGCTGTGGGCACAGCCCCTCAGCGGTCTTAAGGTGAACGGGGGGCATGGGTGGTTTGGGAAAGCGAGTGTGGCAGTCCTGGGGAACTGAGGGAGGGAGACAGGGCGCGAGAATGGGTGAGGGTGCAGGACTTGGGAGGCACCCGTGGTTGAACGGCAGCACTGCGGCATGAGGCCAGAGAAGAGTTAGACGCTGGACAGGTCCGTGGGCTGGCTGCCTGGCCGGTGCGGGCGAGAAAGAATCATCACAACACTATCCAAACACTTCGCTGTCTGACCCACATTCTTTGAAATACGACTCCTGGGAGGTCTTCCATCCTTCTGGTGTGTGCAATGAGCCACACGTTGCCTAGGAGACTGCGCTAGCGTGACACCAGGCAGCTGCCATCCTGAGGTCACACGTGAAGGTGGCAGGATGAGACATTTTATTCCAGGGAGGCACAGAAACCCAAAGCTTCACGCTTTGTCTTAGGGGTCAGCGAGTCTAGTCCAGCCCCTTTGTAGACAACTGTTCAAGTATAATGGGATTTAGGTGAGGGAGTAAACAAGATTCAAGTAGAAGCCAAAGAAAAAGGACAGCATATACCAGCCTGAAGTTTGAAAGAAGCCGCAGGATGAAAAGAGGCAAAATCCGAAGGAGAGTGGAGACGTAGCTTATCCTCTACTTGGGGCACTTGTACTTATGCTTCAGGACCTTCGAGTGGACACTGTTACTTAAGAAACAAGCGACACTGCTCTCTACAAAAGGCTTTATTCTGTATATAAACCAATAATTAAAATAAATAAATAAATAGTTAATAACAGGCAAACCAGCTGGTCTTAGCCCCGCCTCCCACTGTGGTGCAGGCCAGGAGAGGCGGGACAGAGAGGGGACTCGGAGGCCCAGCGGGGCTCAGGGGCGTGGCCTGGGCAGTGGGCGAGGGCGAGGTCTGGTCAGGGACAGGTATGGCAGTCAGACACCTGGGCAGGTTCTTCTGGAGGCGAGCCCAGGCTCTGGCTCGCACTGCTGGGGTAAAGCAGCGGCCCAGCTCCTCCTCCGCCTGGGCAATGCGGCGGGCGAAGCGACTTCGATCCCGGGCGATCTGCTCCCAGGGGCCCCGGCGGGCTGCGCGGGCTGGTCCTGCCCAGACAGCCAGGAAGTGGACCGAGACCTTCTCAGAGAAGCGCACCTGGGGGACGGAAGAGTACAGAGATGGGACACAGGGAGACAGACCCAAGATACACAGGTGGGAGGGAGATGAGAGAGAGAAAAAAACACAAATGAGTTACAAAAAGATGATGACTGTTGGGCCAGTCACCTGGTGACTCACGGGTGGAGGAGGTTCCCCAGGGCTGACCTGCGTCACATGGCCGCCCGCTCCCTCAGGGCTGTGCGGCTTGCAAAGGATTGCATTACACTGCCCTCCCAACGGAGTCTACCTGCAACCCTCTGCAACACATGTGGCACCCAGAAATGGGAATCCCCCTCCTCTCTAAGCCTCACAAATCTGAGTCCCTGGTACTCACCTTTCTGGCCTTTAGAGGAGTCTCGGGTTCTGGAAGCTGGGTGGGGGTTTCTGTGGATCTGAGCCGCCTTTGCAGTCTGAGGGGCAGCCGTGGAGGGGCCCAGGGGGGAGGTGGCTTCTCTCCAGGTAAATAGATGGCCACCAGGAAGGGATCGGGCTCAGTTTCCCTCTGCCCCACGTCTTCTCCACGTCCACGTAGCCAGCCCCTGAGGAGGGCACTCCGGGTCTGAAGGGAGGGGCTTGGCGCTGAGTCAGCTGCTTCTGAATCATCCTCATCCTCCTCATTCTCCTCCTCTGTGTCCTCTCCTGGCCGGTACACCCAGGTCCGCACGAAGGCACTTGTGGGGGGCGGAGAAGACAGACCCTTAGTGTCTCCCCACTCTTTGGCTGCTCCTAAATCACCATCCTCCTCCTCTTCTGTGTCCTCTCCTGGCCGGTACAGCCAGGCCCTCACAGAGGAACTTGTCAGGGGGACAGGAGTAACAGCCTCAGTTTCTTCTTCCTCCTCCTCAACTGCTCCCAGATCACTGTCGTTGTCATCTTCCTCCGTGTCCTCTCCTGGCCGGCAGACCCAGGCCCTGAGGAAGGCACTTGTGGGAGGCGTAGAAGAGAGACCCTCAGCTTCTCCCCAGTCTTCATCTGCTCCTGAATCACTGTCCTCCTCCTCCGTGTCCTC